CGTGCCACTGCACTCCAGCCTGGGTGACAGAGCAAGACTCTGTCTTGGGAAAAAAAAAAATTATGTCTGGCTTCAGCATTCTCAGGGTGTATTCTGCAGAACAGTATTCCCATGAAACGCTCTATGGGGGAAAGAAAAAGCAGCATTCTCTATTCTCCTTGACGGTCCCCTTTGGCAAATTTAAGGTTCAGGGCAGCCTTCAATAAAGAAATGTAGGCCAGGCGCGGTGGCTCAAGCCTGTAATCCCAGCACTTTGGGAGGCCGAGACGGGCGGATCACAAGGTCAGGAGATCGAGACCATCCTGGCTAACCCGGTGAAACCCCGTCTCTACTAAAAAATCGAAAAACTAGCCGGGCGAGGTGGCGGGCGCCTGTAGTCCCAGCTACTCGGGAGGCTGAGGCAGGAGAATGGCGTGAACCCGGGAGGCGGAGCTTGCAGTGAGCTGAGATCCGGCCACTGCACTCCCACCTGGGTGACAGAGCGAGACTCCGTCTCAAAAAAAAAAAAAAAAAAGAAATGTAGTCCGCCTGGCGCGGTAGCGCATGTCTGTACCACATGTCTGTAGTCCTAGTGCTTTGGGAGGCTGAGGCAGGAGGATTGCCTGAGCCCAGGTGTTTGAGGCTGCAGTGAGCTACGATCATGCCATTGCACTCCAGCCTGGGCAACAGTGAGACCCCATCTCTAAAATAATTTTTTCACATTTAAAAAATCTTTCCGGGCCAGACAGTATCTCACGCCTGTAATCCCAGCACTTTGGGAGGCCGAGGCAGGTGGATCACAAGGTCAGGAGATGGAGACTAGCCTGGCCTACATGGTGAAACCTTGTCTCTACTAAAAATGCAAAAAATTAGCTGGGCATGGTGGCGAGCGCCTGTAATCCCAGCTACTCAGGAGGCTGAGGCAGGAGAATTGCTTGAACCCAGGAGGCAGAGGTTGCAGTGACCTGAGATGCCAACACTGTATTCCAGCCTAGGTGACAGAGTAAGACTCCTCTGTCTCAGAAAGAAAAAAAAATTGGAGATGAAGGGCTGTGATGGTTCTACAACAGTACTATTACACATTTTGCCACTGAACTGTACTGTATACTCAAAAATAGTGTAAAAGATATATTTTTTTTTTGAGATGGAGTCTCGCTCAGTTGCCCAGGCTGGAGTGCAGTGGCGCGATCTCAGCTCACTGCAAGCTCCGCCTCCCAGGTTCAAGCGATTGTCCTGCCTCAGCCTCCCAAGTAGCTGAGACTACAGGCACCTGCCACCACACTCGGCTATTTTTTTTGTATTTTTAGTAGAGACAGGGTTTTACCATGTGTTTGCCAGGGTAGTCTTGATCTCCTGACCTCATGATCCGCCCACCTCAGCCTCCCAAAGTGCTGGGATTACAGGTGTGAGCCACCATGCCTGGCCAATAAATTTTATATTATGTATATTTGACCACAAAACAAAAACAAAGACAACCTAGTGATGTCCCAACATACTGAGAATCATGGAGCCGGGTGCGGTGGCTCACACCTGTAATCCCAGCACTTTGGGAGGCCGAGGCAGGAGGACTTCTTGAGCCCAGGAGTTTGAGACCAGCCTGGGCAACACAGTGAGACCCTGTCTGGAAAAAAAATTAGCTGAGTGCGGTGGTGTGCACCTGTAGTCCTAGCTACTTGGGAGGCTGAAGTGGGAGGATGACTTGAGCCTGGGAGATCAAGCCTGCAGTGAGCCATGATTGCACCGTTGCACTCCAGCCCAGAAAACAGAGCGAGACCCTATCAGAAAGAAAGAAGATGTGGTGTGGGGTCAGGGGTTAGAAAGAGAAGAAAGTAAAGAAACTTAGCATCATGGGAAGCGAGAGCCTTATGGAAGCTCCTCCCTCTCCCTAAGCCCATCTGTCAATCTTCTCCACTTGGTGTCTCTGCACAGCCACAGATGTCCTTTCTGCACCTTGAGGGAACTCATCCCTCGCTTGGAGCATCCCACTTGCTGTTTCCTCTCTTTGGAAATGTCTCTACCCCCTACTGTCCCCAACCCCAGCCCCAAGCCTCTGAACCCTGCTTGACACACTTCGCCTGGTTCTGCTCCTCCCTCACTGGCAGGGCCTCCTCTCTCCAGCTGCACCTTCTCTTTGGCCCCACTGCTCCCCAGAACGGGTCACCCTTGGCCTTCACCCTGATAGCCCCTTGGTGGGCACCGGAGCCCCCTGGCTCCGGCTCTTCATACTGGAACCTCTGAGTCTTACTGGCTCATATTGTCAGTCACTGAGCTGCAGATTCTATGTCAGAAGGCTCTCATGAGTGTCTTTCTTCCTAATTCTGAGGTCACCACCTTGGTCCCAGCTCCTGATGACCCTCACTTAGGAAAAAATGCCCAACAGATCTCTAGTGTCTAGCTCTGTCCCCCAACCAGGTCACACCCACACTGCTTTGCAAAGATATTTTCTGATGGCACCTGGCAAACAGCACTGCACTTGCTCAAGAACTTTCTGTGGCTCCTCAGTGCTACAGAATGGATCTCAAGCTCCTCTGCTGGAATCTGTGGCCCTCCCATATTTGACCCCAATTCTCGGCTGCATCTGTCTCCCATTCTTTGTTTTTTTGTTTTGCTTTGTTTTCTTTTTGAGACAGAGTGTCTCACTCTGTTGCCCAGGCTGCAGTGCAGTGGCCGGATCTCAGCTCACTGCAACCTCCGCCTCCCGGTTTCAAGCGGTTCTCCTGCCTCAGCCTCCCGAGTAGGTGGGATTATAGGTGCCCACCACCATGCCCAGATAATTTTTGTATTTTTAGTAGAGACAGGGTTTCACCATGTTGGCTGGGCTGGTCTTGAACTCCTGACCTCAAGTGATCCGCCTGCCTCAGCCTCCCAAAGTGTCTTTTGTTCTATAAAGCAAGATTTCTTTGCTGTTTCCTCTGCCTGAAAATCTCCCTTAACACCAATTTGTAGGCTATGGGAAGCACAGCCATCTCCTCCCAGGAGCATTTCTTGGCATATCACCAACCAGCCTGGGTGAGGTGGTGCCTCTGGGCTTCCTCTGTCATAGCTCCAGTTACTCTCTTCCCACATTGAATGTGGGCCCTGACACAGCTGTATCACTGGAGCCCAGCACAAAAACCCACAGAAGCCTGAAGAGGGTGTTTGCTGAATGAATGACTGAATGAATGAATGAATGGGGTCAGCTTTCCTCATCTTGGAATTCTCTTATTACCTAGCACAGTCCCTTCAACAGAAGGCAGTCAACACACAGTCACTAACTGCCAATTGCCCTTCTTTTTTTTTTCTGTTTGTTTTGAGACAGAGTCTCACTCTGTCGCCCACGTTGGAGTGCAGTGGCGCAATCATGGGTCACTGCAGCCTCAGTCTCCCTGGCTCAAGTGATCCTCCTGCCATAGCCTCTTAAGTAGCTGAGGCTATAGGCACGTGCCACTACACCTGGCTGATTTTTGTTTTTGTAGAGATGGGGGCCTCACTATGTTGCCCAAACTGGTCTCAAATGCCTGAGCTCAAGAGATCCTCCCATCTCGGCCTCCCAAAGTGTTGGGATTACAGGCGTGAGCCACCACACCCAGCCTGACTGTGCCTTCTAAGTAAAAACTGGCCAGGTGAGGTGCCTCACACCTGTAATCCCAGCACTTTGGGAGGCCAAGGTGGGAGGATCGCTTGAACCCAGGAGGTCAAGGCTATAGACAGCCATGTTAACACCACTGCACTCCAGCCTGGGTGACAGAGTGATACTCTATCTCAAGAAAAGAGAAGGACAGAGAAAAGGAAAGGACAAGAAAAGGGGCACTTGCTGGGACTCTCAGTTTTCTGCTCACACTCCCCCGACCAGGCTGGGCTGGGACCCGCATCCTAAGTTCCCAGCCCGTTTTCTGTCAAAATCTGACTTCTCAGAGGAAGTGGTAGAGACATCTGGGCTCTGTTTTCATTTCCAGCCATGCTGCCATATGGCCGTGAAACCTTGAGAGTACCACGTCATCTCTCTGAGTCTCAGTTTACTTATCTGCAAATATGGTTATTGATATCCATGCCCTGGCTCCTTGGCAGGCCTCTTTACACTTTCTAAAGTGTAGACCATCCACAGTAATTCACTTTTTCAACAAATGTATATTGCACAATTACTATATTATACATCTTGTTAAAATGTCAGCCTCCACGGTAACCCTTTGAGGTAGATATTATTCATCCTCATTTTACAGAGGAGGCACTGAGACTCAGGGAGGTCACGTGTCTTACCGGCTGTGCCTGGGGGAAGTTGCAGAGACTAGTTTTTGTTTTGTTTTGTTTTTTTGAGATGGAATCTCACTCAGCTGCCCAGGCTGGAGTGCAGTGGCGCAATCTCGGCTCACTGCAACCACCAACTCCCGGGTTCAAGCAATTCTCCCATCTCAGCCTCCTGAGTAGCTAGGATTACAGGCACCCACCATCATGCCCAGCTAATTTTTGTATTTTAGTAGAGATGGGGTTTCACCATGTTGGCCAGGCTGGTCTTGAACTCCTGACCTCAGGTGATCTGCCCACCTCGGCCTCCCAAAGTGCTAGGATGACAGGCACGAGCCACCACGCCAGCTTTTTTTTTTTTCTTTTAAGAAATGGAGTCTTGACCAGGCGCAGTGGCATATGGCACGCACCTGTAATCCCAGCTACTCAGAAGGCTGAGGCAGGAGAATTGCTTGAACCCAGGAGGCAGAGGTTGCAGTGAGCTGAGATGGCACCACTGTACTCCACTCTGGGTGACAAAGTGAGACCCTGTCTCAAAAAAAAAAAAAAGAAATGAAGTCTTACTCTGTTGCCCAGGCTGTAGTACAGTGGCACAATCATAGCTTACTGTAGCCTTGAACTCCTGGGCTCAAGCAGTCTTCCTGCCTCAGCCTCCCAAGTGGCTGGGACCACAGGCACAATGTGCCACTACGCCTGGTTCATTTTTTTTTCCTAGAGATAGGATTTCACAATGTTGCTCAGGCTGGTCTGAACTCCTGGCCTCAAGCGATCCTCCCACCTTGGCCTCCCAACAAAGGCTGGACTTGTGCCACCTGCATTTATTCTATTCCCATCCACTCCAGTATCTGGGTCCCCTGCTGACGACAATTAGCCAGGGCTTGACAACGCCCTCCATGTAGGTCCCCTCCCCAGGTCTTGGTCCCCCCTCAGCATCTGCATTTGAAGTAGATAAGGAGTGGCTAGTTCCTCAGATGGGGGAAAGGTCTCTGTTGCACCTGATCTTCAGATAACACTTTGAAATGAGTCCAGGATCTCACTCTCTTCTTTTTTTTTTTTTTTTTCTTTTTTTACAAAAGACTGGGGAGAGGGGTGGCAAGTCTAATCTATTCGAATCTTTACAGGCACTTTTCTTTTTACAAGTTGGAAACTTGAGGGATCCTTGAGGAAAGTCCAGGGCATAAATTTCAGTTTCGGAGTCCCCGACTCAGTGGCCCACCTCAGGGCTCCGTCAGTCCTTCGTGCCAAGGTCAGGCTCAACTCCAGCCTGCGGTGCTGCTCAGCTGCACTCCTCGAAGATGTCTGGGTAGTGCCGGAAGAGCACAGGCGGGTCCCGGTCACCTCGGACGGGGGCCCGAGGCACAGCCCGGATCCCAGGTCTCCGGCCCCGCCGCCCCCCAGAGCAGGAGCGGTGGATCCACTGGTGCGCTTCCACTGCGAACTTCCTCTTGAAGCGCATGCCACACTCGGGGCAGGGGAAGGGCCGCTCCCCGGAGTGCATGCGCCTGTGGCTGACCAGCAGCGAGGGATAGGTGAAGCGGCGGCCGCAGTCCGTGCACACATGGCGCCGCTGGCCGGCCTGAGCATCCACGCTGGGCATGGGTGCCGGGGGCTGTGCTCCTGTGGTCGGGTCCCAGGCAGCATTTTTGGGTGGCTGTGCCCGTGCCGGGGCCACGCTGATAGCTGGGTCAGGGTTGCATTCCACCAGCACTTCAGGACTCTCCTTCACAGGAGCCTTTCTAGGCCCTTTGGCTCTTGGAACTTCCTCAGGTTCCTCTTCCTTCCTGTTTGGGGCATCTCCTGGGAAACCGGAATTAAGTTACACTTACAAACACTTCTGCACAGACTGTCTCAGGTTATAGAATGCTTTTCACTTAAGGCAGTGCCAGAGAAGTTCTGTCCAGTGATTAACACACAGGCTTTAGAACAAGGTAAACAGGATTCGATCTCCTGAAAGTGACTTATCTGAGCCTTGGTTCCTTATGCATCAAATTGGAATAATAACGGCTTTTCACTTCACAGCATTGCTGGGTTAGCTTAGTAGATGCATGTTAAGCACTTAGTAAGTGCTCAGGAAGCAGGGGCATTTATTTATTTATTTATTTATTTATTTATTTTTGAGACAGAGTCTCACTCTGTCACCCAGGCTGGAGTGAAGTGGAAAGATCTCAGCTCACTGCAACCTCCACCTCCCAGGTTCAAGTGATTCTCCTGCCTCAGCCTCCCAAGTAGCTGGGATTACAGGAGCTCACCACCACGCCCAGCTAATTTTTGTATTTTTAGTAAAGACAGGGTTTCACCATGTTGGCCAAGCTGCACTTGAATTCCTGACCTCAGGTGATTCACCCGCCTCAGCCTCCCAAAGTGCTGGGATTACAGGCATGACCCACCGCACCTGGCCAAGCAGTGGCTATTATTAGTGTGGTTTCTCCATTTTTTGTAAGGTAAGACTCTTTTATAGATGAGGAAACATTTGCTCAAGGTCACTCTACTGGGGGATGGTGAAGGGAGAAAAGCCAACTTGTCAATGACTGGGTATTTTTTCTCGTGCCACTTTGCCTCACTTGAGGAATGTGAAAGGTAGACCTGAAGGCACTTCCAATCTTGGGGAGTTTTAGTTATTCCTGAAAGAGAGAGAATGAGCTGGCCTGGCACAGTGGCTCAGGCCTTTAATCCCAGCACTTTGGGAGGCCGAGGGGGGCAGGTCACATGAGATCAGGAGTTCGAGACCACCCTGGCCAACATGATGAAACCCCGTCTGTACTAAAAATACAAAAATTAGTTGCTCGTGGTGGCGTGTGCCTGTAATTCCAGCTACTCTGGAGGCTGAGGTGGGAGAATCGTTTGAACCCAGGGGACGGAGGTTGCCATGAGCCGAGATAGCACCACTGCACTTCAGCCTGGGCTACAGAGTGAGACTCCCTCTCAAAAAAAAAGAAAAAAAGAGAGAGAGAGAGAATGAGAGAAATCTGGAAGCACAAGCATGTTGGACTGGGCTCCCAGTCCCCACAGGACCGCTGTCCTATGTTCTGAAAACTTTGTACCAGGTCTGCCTTCTTTACTCCTCTAGTACCCAACACAGTTGAATTTCTTTAAGGATGCTGGAAGTGGGGGCCTGAAAGGAAACTCTGCTAGACAGGAAGCCTTGGAAAATCAAGTGGGGGGGGGGGGGACCCGGGACTATCCCTCACCTCTCCGAGCTCCTCCCAGTCTTTCCCCCTTCTCAGGATCCTGGGCGGCGGGGCTCCAAGCCTCAGTCTCCTGTTCCATCCAAGAGATGAGGGCTGGTTTGGGGCCTGGGAATCCTGGGAGAGAACAGGGATCACAGCACGGGCCTGAGAGGCCATCGTGGGGAGTTGGCATTCCCCTCCAGGCTGAGGGCACCCCGTCGGAGCTTATACTCAACCTGGACCGGGGTGCAGTGCTGCTGCCTGAATGAAGTGGATGCGGGTGAAAACACTCCCGAGGGGGTACCTGAAGCCCTGGGAACGGGAGGTGGCTGCTGGTGTTGGCGCAAGAGTGCGGGGTTAGGGCTCACAGTTCTCTCGGCCCTTCCACATCATCTCCCCTGTGAACCCAGTAAAGGAGGAGGGGGCTCGGACCCGGGGCTCTCACCGAGCGCGCCCAGGTGGCCGTAGGTCTCCCGCATCACGTCCCGGTACAGAGCCCTCTGCGCGGGCCGCAGACAGCCCCACTCCTCCGGGGAGAAGTACACGGCCACGTCCGCGAAGCTCACAGCCCCGGGCTTCCTGCAACCAGGCCGGGTCTCCCCAGGCTTCCGCGCCAGGAGCGGGGCTGGGGGCGGCGCCATGGGGCCTTGCAGCCCCGATCGGCGGCCGCCAGGTCCCTGGGGCCGCCGTCTCCCCGCTCCCGGCCTCAGCTGTCGTTGTCCACAGGAAGGGCGGCCCCACCCAGCCGTGGCGTCCGAACGCAGCCGAGGCAACCGAATTAGCGGGGACTGGCTGCTAGGGATTCGAGGATTCTGATAGGGACAAATATAATTCCTCAGTGTTTATTCACTTCATGGCCGCTTGGACATAGACACCCGGGTTAAGGGACCCGGAAGGTGCCTTCAGAAAATATGGCGACCACCTAGCTTCAATTGTCACAGGCTGCTCTTAAGGGCGCCATTCTTTGACCATATCAAATATGGAGCCTTTCTGACTCCTCTGGCCTCATCGTCCCACTTGCCCTTAAATAAACCTGCTTCGGATGCTTTTTCTGGTGGGCAAGGCGGGATGTCTGGGAAGTAGAAGAGAGGCTTCTTGCCTTCAAGAAAGATGGACGGGCCCGAAGCTTCACTTACCCCTCTTTACCCGCAAGACGCAACGGCCGATGATTGGCGACGATCCCGGAAGAATCTGCGCAGTGATTGGCCTGGGACTGGCGGGCGTTTGAAAGGACTCCGCCGTCCTGAAGCCTCTGTTGACTGGAGCGCAGCGGGGACCTCGGTATCTGCGGTGCTCAGAATTGTGTCCCCTACGGGCTCTTACCGTGCCTCCCAATGGCAGGAGCTGGAATCTGGTCCCCAGATCCCTTGGGAAGACGCGCACACCCTGGAAAACCATGTGTACATCCGCGGTAGAAGCAGGTGTGTGTTTTACAATAGGAGTTTAGCTGCGGAGTCCACCCAGCCCCTGGCATCCGCAGCTCGGCTCGCTCAGGCTCTAGACTGAAGCTGCAGGCGAAAGAACGTGCTTGGTGAGGATGGAATCGGAATGGGGAAGTCTTAAATTACATTGTAGTTGTTGCTAACATACATAAATTTATTTTTTGTTTGTTTTGAGACAGGGTCTTGTTCTGTGGCCCAGGGTGGAATGCAGCAGTGCGATCCTAGCTCGCTGCAGACTCGACCTCCCGGGCTGAAGCGATCTTCTCACCTCAGCCTCCCGAGTAGCTGGGACCACAGGCGCACACCCCATGCTTGACTAATTTTAAATTTTTAAAACAGAGACAGGGTCTTGCTATGTTGCCCAGGCTGCTTTGGAATTCCTGGCCTCAAGCAATCCTTCTGCCTCGGCCTCCCAAAGTGCTGTGATTACAGGTATGAGCCACCGTTCTCGGCCATTTCTACTTTTTTCTTTTTCTTTTTCTTTTTTTTTTTTGGGGGGGAAGGAGTTTTACTCTTGTTGCCCAGGAGTGCAATGGTGCAATCTCGGCTCACCGCAACCTCCGCCTCCCAGGTTCAAGCGATTCTCCTGCCTCAGCCTCCCAAGTAGCTGGGATTACAGGCATGAGCCACCATGCCCGTCTAATTTTGTATTTTTAGTAGAGACGGGGTTTCTCCATGTTGGTCAGGCTGGTCTCGAACTCCCGACCTCAGGTGATCCTCCCACCTCAGCCTCCCAAAGTGCTGGGATTACAGGCGTGACCCACCGCGCCCGGCCCCGCCATTTCTACTTCTTTATGTTGTTCCAGATTACCAAAGATAGCATCAACTTTCGAATCCTAATTTTTTTTGGAAACCTTCCTCCTTTAGCCTTCAGTCTCCTCTCTAAACTGGATTGGGCCTCAGTTCTTCTCATACGAGGTCTCCCCTTCCTGTTGTCCTGGGTTGTATCCTCTGCTTCCTAGATTTAAGGTATTTATTTTTCAGCCAAGATGGGTCATCGTCATGGCTAGTGGTGTTGGACTATAAGTACTAGTTGCCTTCATCCCCACATTTGGAATATACCTGCAATCACACAGGAAGCAGAATACTGTTTGCTAAGCATGGGGCTGCTTGCTGGAGATAACAAGCAAGGCCTACCAGGTCCCTGCTGTCCTTCTGGCCCTGGATCTACTTGCTTGGCTCCCCTGCCCGCCTTAGTATATCAAGCCTTCCTTTTTATTCAATGGTGTTCTTTATTGCTGACTTTCCAGTCAAGATTTCTTTGTATTTTCTGGCTTACCCTTGCTGTTTTTCACCTGAAATACTTTTTTTGAGATCCTGCTGATCTCATATGCACAAATTAATTATTAATTGTTAATAATTAAATATTAATATGCTTATATTATTACTTTGAGTTCTGGAACTGCTTCACTGCACTCCACGTGGTGAATAGTGTAGAAATTGAATAAGGAAAAATATACCCTTAGAAATCAGTATTTTTTGCCGGGCGCGGTGGCTCAAGCCTGTAATCCCAGCACTTTGGGAGGCCGAGACGGGCGGATCACTAGGTCAGGAGATCGAGACCATCCTGGCGAACATGGTGAAACCCCGTCTCTACTAAAAAATACAAAAAACTAGCCGGGTTGCCGGGCGCGGTGGCTCACGCCTGTAATCCCAGCACTTTGGGAGGCTGAGGCGGGCGGATCACAAGGTCAGGAGATCGAGACCACGGTGAAACCCCGTCTCTACTAAAAATACAAAAAATTAGCCGGGCGCGGTGGCGGGCGCCTGTAGTCCCAGCTACTCGGGAGGCTGAGGCAGGAGAATGGCGTAAACCCGGGGGGCGGAGCTTGCAGTGAGCTGAGATCCGGCCACTGCACTCCAGCCCGGGCGACAGAGCCAGACTCCGTCTCAAAAAAAAAAAAAAAAAAAGAAATCAGTATTTTTTAAATTTTGAAAATATTTAATTTAGGCCCGGCCCAGTTGCTCACACTTGTAATCCAGCACTTTGGGAGGCTGAAGTGGGCAGATTGCTTGAGGCCAGAAGTTAGAAACCAGTGTGGCAACATGGTGAAACCCAATCTCTGCTAAAAATACAAACATTGGCCAGGTCTGGTGGTGCACACCTGTAGTCCCAGCTACTCAGAAGGCTGAGGCATAATAATTTCTTGAACCCAGGAAGCAAAGGTTGCAGTGAGCAAGATCATGCCACTGCACTCCAACCTGGGCGACAGAGCGAGACCCTGTCCCAAAAAGAAAAAAAAAATTGGGCCAGGCACAGTGACTCACGCCTGTAATCCCAACACTTTGGGAGGTCAAGGTGGGAGGATCACCTGAGGTCAGGAGTTCAAGACCAACCTGGCCAACATGGCAAAACCCCGTCTGTACTAAAAATACAAAAATTAGCTGGGTGTGGAGTTGGAAGCTTGTAATCCCAGCTACTCAGGAGGCTGAGGCACAAGAATGACTTGAACCTGGGAGGCAGAGGTTGCAGTGAGCCGAGATCGCGCCATTGCACTCTAGCCTGGGCGACAGAGCAAGACTCTGTCTCAAAAAAAAAAAGAAAAGAAAAGGAAAACAAAAAAAATTAATGTATTGATACACAAAATTTTTACATATTTATGGAGTTCATGTGATGTTTTGCTTTGCTTCATACATAGAATGTACAGTAATCAAGTCAGGATATTTAAGGTATCAATCACCTTGAGTATTTAACATTTCTATGTGTTGGGAAAATTTCAAGTCCTCTCTTCTAGCTATGGAAATTTACAGTACTTTGTTAACTACAGTCACCCTACTCTGCTATTGAACATTACAAGTTATCCCTTCTTCCTAAGTATATGTTTGTACCCATTACCCAACTTCTCTTCATCCACCTCTCCCACCCACATACACCCTTCCAATCTCTGATATCATTCTACTCTCCACATCCGTGAGATCAGCTTTTCTAGCTCCCACATGTAAGTGAGGACATGTGATATTTGCCTTTCTGTGTCTGGCTTATTCACTTAACATAATGACCTCCAGTTCCATCCATGCTGTAAACATGATTTCATTTTTTTATGGCTGAATTCCACTGTGTATATGTATCATGTTTTCTTTATTCATTTGTCCACTGATCAACACTTAGGTTGATTCCATATATTTGCTATTGCAAACATGGCTCTACAGTAAACACGGAGATGCAGGTTATCTTTTTTATATACTGATTTCTTTTCCTTTGGATAAACTCCAGGTAGTGGGATTGCTGGATCACATGGTAGTTCTTTGTTTTGTTTTGTTTTGTTTTTTGAGGCTGAGTTTTGCTTATGTTATCCAGGTTGGAGTGCAATGCCCGGGTCTCAGCTCACTGCAACCTCTGCCTCCCGGGTTCAAGTGATTCTCCTGCCTCAGCCTCTCGAGTAGGAACTACCATGTGGGCCTCACCCTCCATCAGGCCCAGCTAAATTTTGTATTTTTAGTAGAGACGGGGTTTTACCATGTTGGCCAGGCTGATCGTGAACTTCTGGCCTCTGGTGATCCACCAGCCTCGGCCTCCCAAAGTGCTGGGATTACAGGTGTGAGCCACCGCCCGGCCCACATGGTAGTTCTATTGTAGTTCTATTTTGGGTTTTTTGAGACATCTCCATATTGTTTTCAATAGTGGCTGTACTAACTTACATTCCCACCAACAGTGTGTAGGAGTTCCCTTCTCTCTTTTTTTTTTTTTGAGAAGGAGTTTCACTCTTGTTGCCCAGGTTGCAATGGCACAATCTTGACTCACCGCAGACTCCGCCACCAGGGTTCAAGCGATTCTTCTGCCTTAGCCTCCTGAGTAGCTGGGATTACAGTCATGCACCACCACTCCTGGCTAATTTTGTATTTTTAGTAGAGATGGGGTTTCTCCATGTTGGTCAGGCTGCTCTCGAACTCCCGACCTCAGGTGATCCACCCACCTCAGCCTCCCAAAGTGCTGGGATTATAGGCGTGAGCCACCGCGCCCAGTCAAGAGTTGCCTTCTCTTAGCATCCTTGCCAATACCTGTCATGTTTTGTCTTCTTAATAACAGCCATTCTAACTAAGGTAAGATAATATCTCATTGTGTGGTTTTTTGTTTTTGAGTCAGAGTCTTGCTCTGCAGCCTAGGCTGGAGTGCAGTGGCGCAACCTCAGCTCACTGCAACCTCCCCCTCCTGGGTTCAAGCGATTCTCCTGCCTCAGCTTCCCGAGTAGCTGGGATTACATGCGTGCACCATCATGCCCAGCTAATTTTTGTATTTTTAGTAGAGATGGAGTTTTGCCATGTTGAGAAGGCTGGCCTCAAACTCCTGACCTCAGGTGATCCGCCCACCTCAGCCTCCTAAACTGCTGGGATTACAGGCGTGAGCCACCATGCCAGCTTCCTTGTAGTTCTGATTTGCATTTCCCTGATGATTAGTGGTGTTGAGCAGTTTTTCATGTACCTGTTAACCATTTGCATGTTTTCTTTTGATTCTCCTTATATTATTATTATTATTAATTATCATTATTATTGAGACAGGTTCTCACTCTGTCACACAGGCTGGAGTGCAGTGGTATGATCACAGCTCACTGCAGCCTCAACCTCCCTGGATTTAGGTGATCCTCCCACCTCAGCCTTTTAAGTCATTGGAACTAGAAGCGTGCAACACCATGCCTGACTAATTTTTGTTTTTGTAGAGATGGGGTCTCTCGATGATGCCCAGGCTGGTCTGGAACTCCTGGGCTCAAGTGAGCCTCCCACCTCAGCCTCCCAAAGTGCTAGGATTACAGGTGTGGGCCACCATGCCCAGCCTATTATTGTTATTTTGAAACAGAGTCTCACTCTGTCACCCAGGTTGGGGTGCAGTGGCACGATCAAAGCTCACTGCAGCCTGGAACTCTAGGGCTCAAGTGATCTATACTCCCACCTCCGCCTCCTAAGTAACTAAGACTACAGGTGAGTGGCTATTTGGATTCTCCTTTTAAACAGAGCAGCAACTTGAACCAAAAATACTTTTGTTTCTTCAGATCCTATGTTGTAAATCACTTCTCTTTGAACTAAGTATGCAGCAGAAGACTTTAGAAGATGAAGCTGAACAATAAAAATGTTAATAAACAGATTGAAAGAAACTTTTTTTTTTTTTTTTTGAGATTGAGTCTCACTTTGTTGCCAGGCTGGAGTGCAGTAGCGCGATCTCGGCTCACTGCAACCTCCAATTCCCTGGTTCAAGCGATTCTCTTGCCTCAGCCTCCTGAGTAGCTGGGATTACAGGCACATGCCACCACACCCAGCTAGTTTTTGTATTTTTAGCAGAGACAGGATGCTCTTGATCTCCTGACCTTGTGATCCAC